AATAGATTAATTCCATAACAATTAATGAAAAAACATATAAATTAAGAATCATTTCAAATACATGAGATTTCACAAGGTTACATCATTCTCCAACAATAAATAGAGTTTAGTTCCCCATAGACATGGAGAAATTAAGGATGAAATTGATAAACAAATTAATGAAGAAAGATGAATTCCCTATCTCGGGCACCCCATTTAGGGCTTGAGCTTTCAATTGGACGGCCGAGGTTCGGGGTCCGACGCTCAGGCGGCCTAGGAGGGCGCTCGGGCGGTAGGCATCGTTTTTTCGAGGCTCAAGCCTCCAGATAGGGCGCCCAAGCTTCGTGCGATTCCTCCTTTTGGTGCTTTTCCAGGCCTTTCTGAGCTCTAACTCCTTAGCACTTCATCTCTGCTTTCTGCATTCTCTCATTACCTATCAAAGCAAGGGAAATTAGCCATAAAATCATCAAATTCAACCTCCACTCTCTTATTCACACAACTTAATGAAAAAGCATGAGTCCAAGAAAGCTTTTAAGTGAAAAAGGGTGTATTTAGTATCAAAATTACATCACAAATAACGGTATTTTCAATCATTAACACAACCCCAAACTTCGAACTTTGCTTGTCCTCAAGCAAAACAAATTGTAACTTAGCTTTTGAGGACAATCACTACAATGACTCAACCTTTTTCAAAAACTTTTTCCTCCAATCAAGAAATTACTTTGATCAACTCAGCATACATATGTCAGTTAAGATGTACAGATGCCTTAATCAATTATAATGAATGTGATGCTCATGTATTTCAACAGATGTTATTCTTAAGAATGATCAATCAACCAAGCAGAGATGTAATAAAAAATTCAAAGAACTACTCCTCACCAAGGAAAGTGTTTCACTCAAGCACTCAAAAGTGTATCACTCAAACACTCAAAAGTGTATCACTCAACTAAAAGGTGTATAATGAGGTGTCGGTGTCTTTTTCACTCTGCTATCACAATGTCACACAAATTAATTTTTCCTTTCATTTAACCATAATCAAACATACTCACAAGCAAGTTTTCATCACAAGGGCTTTTCATGGCTTATAACTTGGCTGTGCTAAGAAGGAAATTGGTTTTTCTGGTCAGCAAAATTCCTTGAGCTGAGAGAGAGACATTTATGATTTCATCATTCAAGAACAAACTCTCTTTCTTTTTCCCCAGCTTTCCCTTACATTGAGCTTTTCTTTCCTTTTCATGTTTCTTTTTCTTTTTCTTTTGCTTTTGCTTTTCAAGTACTTACCGCTTAGGTCAATGCTTTTTCTTTTCAATTTTCCTAGTAACCCCAAACTTGAACATTTATCAATACCTCACAAATGTTCTCAACTTAACTCAAGGTAAAGATGTTCACAAAGGGTTTCCAAAAGATGCATAAGGCTCAAGGTTCAAAGGGTAAAACAAATTGTTTTTTTTTCAATGGACAAAATTTTTTGTGAAGGCTAAAAGAATAAGGCACAACAAAAGATGAACTTGATCATATGAAACCTGCCAACAAGTAGTTCAATCATAGAAAATTTGGGCAAAATCATTCATGCTTCCAAAGTAATAACAATTATTCACAACAACTCTGAAGCCCAAAACTCACACAGGTAACTCTCAAGTCCCAAAATTCGGAAAAATACCATGCTCAGTATCTTAATCAAGTTTTACATCAAGCACCTGTTTCATACACTGTGAGTTATCACCTGTATATCAACATATCATGCATCATCTCAACATCAATCCATACACTAGAATATCATAAAGCAATACCCATCAAGAAACAATCAAAGGTGAACCAAAGCAGGGTAGTCCATTAAAGGAAAGTACAATACAAAGCAAAAAATAAAAGAAGACAATAAAACAGAAACAAAATACAGTCAATCAAAACAAATAAAACAAAAATAGAAAAATAAAATAAAAGTTTGTAAAACACTGGGTTGCCTCCTAGCAAGCGCTTCTTTAACATCACTAGCTTGACCCAATAAGCTCATGTCACATCTTTGATCTTGGTGTTAGTTTTTCCTTCTCCACACCAAATGGTCTTCAGTGATTTCCTGTTCACTTTTTTGATTTTTCTGGAAATTGGGGATTCAATCTCTATCAATCCATCAATTCTGAGTTCTTTCACAACCCATAGCTTCTTGTTGAATGTCACTGGAATCCCAGGTCTGAATTCTTCATGTTTCTCCAAGGGATCCTGATAAACACTTTTTCCTTTGTTATCTTTTTCTTCCTTTTGTACTTGTGACAAAAAACACTTTTTACCTTTCTTACATGGCTTGACAGCTTTAGTACTGGTCTCTGGTGTACCTCCACTTGAAGTCCTGAGACTAGTCTTCTTCACCNATATTACCCTTGGGAGAATTCAACAAGAACCTGAATTGTAAGGAACCTCCCGGCACTCATGCAGTTCATAAATCATGCTACTAAATGAGTTAAATAGAGTAAGCATTGAAATAGATTAATTCCATAACAATTAATGAAAAAACATATAAATTAAGAATCATTTCAAATACATGAGATTTCACAAGGTTACATCATTCTCCAACAATAAATAGAGTTTAGTTCCCCATAGACATGGAGAAATTAAGGATGAAATTGATAAACAAATTAATGAAGAAAGATGAATTCCCTATCTCGGGCACCCCATTTAGGGCTTGAGCTTTCAATTGGACGGCCGAGGTTCGGGGTCCGACGCTCAGGCGGCCTAGGAGGGCGCTCGGGCGGTAGGCATCGTTTTTTCGAGGCTCAAGCCTCCAGATAGGGCGCCCAAGCTTCGTGCGATTCCTCCTTTTGGTGCTTTTCCAGGCCTTTCTGAGCTCTAACTCCTTAGCACTTCATCTCTGCTTTCTGCATTCTCTCATTACCTATCAAAGCAAGGGAAATTAGCCATAAAATCATCAAATTCAACCTCCACTCTCTTATTCACACAACTTAATGAAAAAGCATGAGTCCAAGAAAGCTTTTAAGTGAAAAAGGGTGTATTTAGTATCAAAATTACATCACAAATAACGGTATTTTCAATCATTAACACAACCCCAAACTTCGAACTTTGCTTGTCCTCAAGCAAAACAAATTGTAACTTAGCTTTTGAGGACAATCACTACAATGACTCAACCTTTTTCAAAAACTTTTTCCTCCAATCAAGAAATTACTTTGATCAACTCAGCATACATATGTCAGTTAAGATGTACAGATGCCTTAATCAATTATAATGAATGTGATGCTCATGTATTTCAACAGATGTTATTCTTAAGAATGATCAATCAACCAAGCAGAGATGTAATAAAAAATTCAAAGAACTACTCCTCACCAAGGAAAGTGTTTCACTCAAGCACTCAAAAGTGTATCACTCAAACACTCAAAAGTGTATCACTCAACTAAAAGGTGTATAATGAGGTGTCGGTGTCTTTTTCACTCTGCTATCACAATGTCACACAAATTAATTTTTCCTTTCATTTAACCATAATCAAACATACTCACAAGCAAGTTTTCATCACAAGGGCTTTTCATGGCTTATAACTTGGCTGTGCTAAGAAGGAAATTGGTTTTTCTGGTCAGCAAAATTCCTTGAGCTGAGAGAGAGACATTTATGATTTCATCATTCAAGAACAAACTCTCTTTCTTTTTCCCCAGCTTTCCCTTACATTGAGCTTTTCTTTCCTTTTCATGTTTCTTTTTCTTTTTCTTTTGCTTTTGCTTTTCAAGTACTTACCGCTTAGGTCAATGCTTTTTCTTTTCAATTTTCCTAGTAACCCCAAACTTGAACATTTATCAATACCTCACAAATGTTCTCAACTTAACTCAAGGTAAAGATGTTCACAAAGGGTTTCCAAAAGATGCATAAGGCTCAAGGTTCAAAGGGTAAAACAAATTGTTTTTTTTTCAATGGACAAAATTTTTTGTGAAGGCTAAAAGAATAAGGCACAACAAAAGATGAACTTGATCATATGAAACCTGCCAACAAGTAGTTCAATCATAGAAAATTTGGGCAAAATCATTCATGCTTCCAAAGTAATAACAATTATTCACAACAACTCTGAAGCCCAAAACTCACACAGGTAACTCTCAAGTCCCAAAATTCGGAAAAATACCATGCTCAGTATCTTAATCAAGTTTTACATCAAGCACCTGTTTCATACACTGTGAGTTATCACCTGTATATCAACATATCATGCATCATCTCAACATCAATCCATACACTAGAATATCATAAAGCAATACCCATCAAGAAACAATCAAAGGTGAACCAAAGCAGGGTAGTCCATTAAAGGAAAGTACAATACAAAGCAAAAAATAAAAGAAGACAATAAAACAGAAACAAAATACAGTCAATCAAAACAAATAAAACAAAAATAGAAAAATAAAATAAAAGTTTGTAAAACACTGGGTTGCCTCCTAGCAAGCGCTTCTTTAACATCACTAGCTTGACCCAATAAGCTAATGTCACATCTTTGATCTTGGTGTTAGTTTTTCCTTCTCCACACCAAATGGTCTTCAGTGATTTCCTGTTCACTTTTTTGATTTTTCTGGAAATTGGGGATTCAATCTCTATCAATCCATCAATTCTGAGTTCTTTCACAACCCATAGCTTCTTGTTGAATGTCACTGGAATCCCAGGTCTGAATTCTTCATGTTTCTCCAAGGGATCCTGATAAACACTTTTTCCTTTGTTATCTTTTTCTTCCTTTTGTACTTGTGACAAAAAACACTTTTTACCTTTCTTACATGGCTTGACAGCTTTAGTACTGGTCTCTGGTGTACCTCCACTTGAAGTCCTGAGACTAGTCTTCTTCACCTAGATTGGTTGTTCAACATTGAAGACATTGAAAATCACCTCCTCTTCTTGGTCTTTAAGTGTTATAGTTCCATTGTCAACATTAATGATCACCTTGGCCGTTTTCATGAATGGCCTTCCAAGAATAATAGGGATCTTCAAATCTTCCGCCTTCTCCATTATCACAAAATCTACCAGGAATCTGAGATTTGCAATTTGAACCATCACATCTTCCACCATATATAGGGATTTTTGGTGGATCCATCAACCATAAACAGAGTTATCCTTGCCGGTTTGACTTCAAGACCACCAATCTTTTCAAGAACAGATAAGGACATCAAATTAATACTAGACCCTAAATCAATTAGGGCTTTCCCTATTTTATGCTTTCCGATAGTACAAGGAATGGTGAAACTTCTTGGATCTTCAACCTTAGGAGGAAGTGCCTTTTGTAAGATCACACTACACTCTTCCTGTACCTCCATTGTTTCCTCTTTTAAATTTTCTTTTCTTTTAAGGAGTTTCTTCAAAAACTCAGCATATTCGGGAATCTGTTGCAATTCTTCAGTCACAGGAATTCTAATCCCCAATTCCCTAGAGATTTCTTCAACGCACCCTAATTGTTTCTTTTTTTCTCTTCTGAAGCACTTTTTAGGTTGATTGAACTTTTTCTCTAATTTTTCTTTTTTTCTCTTAACCTCTTCTTTTTTTCTCTCTCTCACTCTCCTCTCTTTGTTTTTCTTTTTCAATCAAATTTTCTTTTTCTTTTCTCTATATTTTTTTCTCATCTTTTTCTTTTCTCTCACTCTCTTCTTTTTCTTTCTCACTCAACTTTTCTTTTTCTTTCTATCTATCATCTTTAATACTAAAAATAACATTACATTATTCTTAGGGATTAACTTCAGTATTAGCCCCAAAACTTCTAATAGGCATCTCTTCCAACTTCTTGGCCATTTGACCAACCTGCATCTCCAGGTTCCTTATAGCAGCTTCATTGCTTTTCTGAGTTTAAATACTTGCCTGAATGAATTGTTGGAGAGTCTCCTCAAGCTTTATAGTTCTGTCAAATAGAGAGGGTTGTTGTTGCCATTGTTGCTGCTTTTGTGGTGGTTTGTTGAATTGACCACCAGTTTGCCCAAACTGACTTTGTCCCATGCTAGGATGAGATTTCCACCCTTGATTGTAATTGTTGGGACGAAACTTGTTATCCATGTAATTAACTTCTTCATTTAGATTCTAGGGCACAACACATTGACCATTACTATGGTCATCACCACATAGTTCACAGAGTTGCTGGTGAACCTGTAAAACAATTTGGCATTCCTTTTGTGGCTGGGAAAGCTTCTTTGTTAAGACTTCTAGTTGTTGAGTGATAATCTTATTTTGAGCAAGCAGGGCATCATAAGACTGTAGTTATAAAACTCTCTTAGGTTGTGATGGAGGTCTTCTTTCATTGTTCATCTCATTATCATTGGTAGCCATGTTGTCAATTAATTCATAAGCTTCCTCTAGAGACTTGCACTTGATATTGCCTCCAGCTAAGGCATCCAGGATCAATTTGGTTTGTGAACAAAGACCTCCAAGGAAAAGAATGACTATCGTTGCTTCATCAAAACCGTGAGTAGGTGTCTTTCTCAGCAAGCTTTTGTATCTATCCCATGCTTGTCCTAATGATTCTTCCTAATGCTTCCCTTTGTTGATCTTTGATTGTGGAAAGTATTTATTCAAGAACTTAACAACCACATCTTCCCACTTAGTAAAGTTGTTTTCAGTAAAAGAGTTTAACCACAATTTAGCGTTGCCTCCCAATGAAAAAGGAAACAAGCTTAATCTAATAGCATCATTTGGCAATCCATTCAGCTTCACAGTGTTGCAGATTTCATTAAAAGTGGTTAGATGCTCATATGGACTTTCATTGGACAATCCATTGAATTGGTTGCTTTTTACTAGATGGATCAATGCAGGCTTCATCTCCATGCTTGTGGCGTTGACCATTGGCTTTGCAATGTTGTTAAAATGGTAAGGGCCAACAATACTTGCATAATCTGCCAAAGTGCGTCTGCCATCATTATTATCCATGCTTTCTTGATCTGATTCTAAGGCCTGTGAAATTCTTTTTAGAGAAGGTACTCTAGATAGTCTCTTTCTCAGTGGCCTTCTACTAAGTAGAGGTTCAGAACTTTTGTTGCTCCTTGTTCTAATTGTATCCTGCATAAACTAAAAACAAAACCCTAGAAAATATTGTTAGCACAAAAATAAAAATAAGAATAAAAGATACGAAAATAAAATCAAATAAAATCAAATCAAATCATATAAAATAAAATCAAATAAAATAGAATAGAGCCAAAATTAATTAAGAATCACACAAATAGAATAGTTTAAACCTTGAGCCCCTGACAACGGCGCCAAAAACTTGTTGATGGATTGGCAAGTGTACCAAATCGCACAAGTCATATAAAATGGTAAGACCAAGTACCGTATCCCAGAGGACGATCGACACTAAACAATTGTGTGATAACTCGATTAATTAAGACTTAAAAGAACGAGATCATTGATTTGGGATGCAAAACAGAAAATTAAATATGAATGCAAATTGATCAATAGTAGAGAACAAAACGATGAAGGAGATTGTTTATAAAATGAGATGATTATGTTGTTAGGGTTTGATTTCACCAAGTTTACTCTCATGTATATAAGAATTTCTCTTTATGCATTAGTGTTAACGTCACTCACTAAAGTACTTAGAATTCGATCCCTCGGCGCAATAAGCCTGCCTTAATTCCTAGTTCGTGCAATTCCTAGTGTTCCTAGAAAATTAAGTCTGAAGATCAAGAGCTTAAGACGACCAAGTACTCATACCCTCATCCTTGAGAAATATTACCCTTGGGAGAATTCAACAAGAACCTGAATTGTAAGGAACCACCCAACACTCATGCAATTCATAAATCATGCTACTAAATAAGTTAAATAGAGCAAGCATTAAAAAAGATGAATTCCCTAAAAATTAATGAAAAAACATAAAAATTAAGAATCAATTCAAATACATGAGAGTTCACAAGGTTACATCATTCCCCAACAACAAATAGAGTTTAGTTCCCCATAGACATGGAGAAACTAGATGAACAATGGAAAAGCATGAGATAGCAAACCCCTAAAAGTAGAAGAGGAAGCTCCTGCCTTAATAACAGTGAAAAACTGTTATTTTTATGCTTAAAATTGACATCAAAAGCAACCTTTAAGACTTAGAAACTAGCTTGGAATCATGCTTTTGCTTATGATGTTGGAAATAAGAGAGTTGGACAGGTTTTATGCTTGATTTCCTTGTTTTTTCCGGTTTTGAGATGAATTTGATGAAAGAAGTGAAGTAGGAAAGAGATGGAATCAGAAAAGGACACAAAAAGTGCAAAAGAAGAGAAACCACAAGTACCGTTCAACGCTAATTACCGTTGAGCGACACTTCCAAGGACCCGTTGGCACCGCTGAGGGGAAAACCTGCCGCTGAGGGGCAGCATTGAAGTCACGCACTTTCCGCTGAGCAGTATTTACCGTTGAACGCCAGTTTTCTAGGCTTGGGCCTACTTTTCTGTAATTTTTAGAATACTATATAAGGTTTTAGTTAACCTAGGTCAGTCATCTTTGGTTGGAACGAAGCAGAAACACACTTTCCACCCCTTGGGGGTAGAATTGGAGATGGTGACGGCTCTCCTCTTCTCTTTCTCGAGTTTTTCTATGTCTTCCATTCTTTCATTCCATTGTTCATCTAGTTCTTCCATGATGGAGAACTAAACTTTTATTGTTGTTGGGGAGTCAATGTAATCCTTTTGAAACTCTCATGAATTGAATTTGTTCTTCAAGATCTTTTATAAGATAGATGCTTTCTTTCATTAATTGTTAGGGTTTTTTCTCTTTTCTCAAAGCATCCATTATTTAACTCATTCGATGTCATCAATATTGGTTTTGCCGATATGGACACATACGGGAAAATCTAGATCTGGGGAATCTCTCCCAATAGTAGTATAAACCTATACATAGGAGTATAATGGTTGGTTTCCTGTAAGCTTTTGTTAACAATAGTGCATGATTATTTGCTAGGGAGACAAGACATTGTAAACTAGTGATTATGATTAGGATTTCTTCATCGAGACATCGGGTTTAAGGTAATTTAGAGAGTGGCATTAACATTAATGAAAAGAAAGATAAATTCCTGAATACATGAGAGTGGATAGAATGAAATTGATAAACCTCAACAACATATTCATGCATATATTTCAATTCACGTGTTTTGTTTCTTCTTACCATTGATCAATCCATGCATTCATGTTTACTTTTGAGTATTTGCATTTAAATCTTAATCAATCAGTTTTGCAAGCCTTAGCTAATCAATAAACCACATAACTGTCTAGGCCGTGAGTCCTTTGGGAGAACAATACTTGGTCTTACCAAGTTTATTACTTGATACGATTCGGTTACACTTGCCGAGGGTTTAACAAGACTTTCACTCCTTTTTCGGGGATTGAAAATTTTTTCATCAAGTTTTTGGCGTCGTTGTCGGGGACTCGTGGTTTAACTAGTCTATTTGTGTGATTATTGATTACCTTTGACTTGATTTTTTAATTTTAATTTTTATCTTTTTGTTTTATCTTTTTATTTGAATTTTTTTTATTTTCTATCTTCTTATCTTTTCAATTCTATCTTTTGATTTTTTTATCTATATTCTCTATTTTTTTGTGCTAACAATTGTTTTAGTGCTCTCTTTTAATAGGCTAAATTCATGCATTTGGCTAACAAAAGGGTTACCAACAAATGGCCTTGATCATATGATGCAAACAAGCAAGTCATTCAATCATAGAAAACCTGGGCAAAGTCATTCATGCTTTCAAAGTAATAGTATTCAATCACAAAAAGTCTAGAGCTCAAAACCTCACATATAAGCTCATTCACATTCCACATAAGCATCCTGCTTATCATCATAATCACAATCACAACATCATGCATTTGTTCACATAGCTCGTGAACCACCTGTATAAGCATATAATGTGCACAATCTCAACATCAATCAAGATCCAAACATCATCAAGCAATACTCATCATGCAATAAGTCATAAGCAAACCATCATAACAAATAAAGTTCAAATTGAGTACATCAAACCCTATTCTAAAAACAGAAGCAAATACGTTCAACAAAATAAAAGATAAGAAAAATCCTGCTCTAGTGTTGATAGCATCCATCAGTAGATATTATCTCAGCTCCTCATCAACTCATGCTATCATCACAGTCTTTCTCCTCTCCTTCTTCAGCATCTTCAAAATTATCATCCTCATCCTCTTCCTCCATAGCTGGAGCTTCAGCTACTCCATCTCTACTGGCTTGTGCCTGCTCCTCTCGCCATACTATCTTAGACAATGAGGAAGTGTTGCTCATGCTTAAAGGAAAGGAACTTGCTGGAATAGGGTTGATCTGGTTCCTTCTCCTTCCTTTTGAATACTATAGTCTTGAATCTCTTGCCCGATGAAGAGGTTATCCCTACATCAAACACCATTCATAAAACCACAAGAAACATCTTAAGAATTATTGAACCATAAACAACACCCTAAAACCATTCCTAATCACCGCTGAGGGCAATCAAAACCCCTCAGCGCAACCTGTGCAGCAAAACCAGCAAGCAAATTAGTGAAGAATGCTCTGGGAATGTGAAGAAATCAGCCCCTAATAGCAATTCTCTCACCAAACCCCAAACTTGGATGGAACCCTAGTGAGAAAGTGAAGGAGAGGTTTTGTAAATGGGGATGAAGGGAAAGGTGTAGAGAACTCTTAGAAAAGTGTTTAAGAGTGTGTGGGAGGAAAGAAATATGAAAATAGAACCAAAACTACACCCTAGGGTATAAAAATACCCTAATGGCATTGAAAAGTCCTTGTGATGATCCTTACTTGTAAATGTATTTGATTGTGGTTAAATGAAAGGAAAAGTTGATTCATGTGATATTATGATAGTAGAGTGAATGAGTGAATACTTCTTATACACTTGTGTGTTTGAGTGAAACACTTTATAAGGTGAGGTTAGATTCCATGAGCACATAAGAACATCTATGCTTAGTTGATTGATCATTCATGAAAATAGCATTTGTTGGATAGTATGTGAATGTGTGAACACTAAAGCATGTGCACATCTTGATTGAAATCTTTGTGATGAGCTAAATTGAGTACTTACTTG